CTTTTGGTGATGCCGAGTTTTGACTAATTGTTAGAGGTTTACGGCACATCCCTGAAATGAGGAAGGACTCCAAGGGGGTCTACAAATGGGTCAAATAGCGTCATGGACGTTTTTTGTCGACAGACAAAAAATCGGTGATAAAGTCGACAGGGACTTAGAAAAGCTTACGCTTTCAGTAATAGAACACGGCTGGGACGCCGCGGGGACTGAAAGCGCTTAGTTATGGAGGTATTTCATTTTGTTCATAATCTGTATTTATATAGAAATATTGGTAAAGTATCTGGGCCATTGTTTGAAAAAAACAACAACAAAATACAAATAAATGTGGTCTTTCCTTCTGAAATGAGGAAGGACTCCATGGGGGTCTACAAATGGGTCAAATAACGTCACTGACGATTTTTGTGGACGGACAAAAAATAGGTGATAATGTCGACAGGGACTTGGAAAAGCTTCCGCTTTTAGTAATAAAGTTGACAGGGATTTAGAAAAGCTTACGCTTTCAACACCATATACTGTGTAAATACTGGTTTTTATATAGAGTGTGGTTTTTAAATAGAGTGTACTCTACCGTGTCTGATTTTAGAAATCTAAATATGTCATATGAGCCTATGGCCCTGTGCACTAAAACAGTTTTGGGCACAAGACTGTGGACAATTCCATTGGCTGACAATAATCAATTTATACCTCCGCACAAATCTTTAGGACTCACACAGGCCATAATAGCCTTAATAGGATACATACCATAATGGGCAATGGCATTTATTAACAGAGTAAAATGTCTTCCGCCGCACCGCTGCTAATCCTTCGAAGTTCCCACCGTTCCGAGTTCAAACTTCAAGGTTTGAACCATAGTCTTTTGGGGAATGTCTATTTTTTTTCTGTGAGACTGGGAGGTCTGTGTTGTCAGTTGTCACTGTTGTGACTTGTGAAGTTGTGAGACTGTGAAAGCCCCTGCCCCTGCCTGAGCCGCCCTGAGGTGGTTTGTTATGTGACCTGTTAGGCTGTTACTGTCTCAGGACTACAGGAGGCAGGAGTCAGGACTACTGAGACTCAGTGACAGTCTCAGACAACTCTTATTTATAGTCACTCCCTTGGCCCCTTTGTCTTTTAGAGTCAGACTGTCATTTTTTTAATAAAAATATAATGTTTTATAATACATATTTATATTTATATATTTACATATGTGTATATTTATAAAAATAAAAATAAAAATAGAAACTGTCTAGTTGTCTACGCGAGAGGAGCCTGGAGACTGCTGACGAGTGGAGAGTGGAGAGTGGTATTACTGATTAGTGATCTACAAGACTACAACACCGAACCACCGGATCATTTCGATCGGGAGAAACGACAAAAAGACAGAATTTTGGGAAATCGCGCATAATGGTTTTTTCTTTGGTTTTTGTCTTCGTCTAAAAAGGAAATAAAAACAAAAAGAGTAAATTTATTTATGCGTTTAAAAAAATAATTATATATACACTTTAAAGTTTATTTACACTATTTTACAAATACGTGGCTGTAAACCTCAATCGCCACTTCCCTTCCGTATATAACGTACGTCGTCCAAAGACTTTCAGTTCATACTTTTAAAATATCAACAATATCGTCTGTTCACAACGCACGAATTCTTTATCAATATGAGCGCACCCCAAGAGAAGAAGGCTTGTTTCCCCAATCCACAAAATCCAGAACTATCTATGCAGAGTGTCGTGGCGGACAATGCAGACTGGGGTTCTTCCGCTCACCGCTTTCCATTCTACGTAGATGGCAAGGCTACTTGGCCAGCAGAATTATTATCTGACACACCAGGCCGCACTACATCGTATCAGAGCTTCCAGACCTCCGTTGCTAGCAACAAGGACCGCCCTTATTTGGGTGAGCGCACCGTGGTGCACAATGAGGATGGCAGCACAACCGCTGGTGACTACAAATTTATATCTTTCAAGGAGGCTGATGAGACTGCTACTCACATCGGCTCTGCTCTGAAGTCACTGGGCGTTGCCAAGAATCAACCAGTTGGACTATACTCCAAGAATCGAGTAGAATGGTCAATGACAGATCATGCTCTTTCGTCATACACGCTACCATCTGTTGCCATTTATGATACCCTGGGCCCTACATCTGTCCACTATGTGATGGAACATAGTGAGATGGTTGCAGCATTCTTCGAGAAGATTCGTCTTGAATCTGTCCTTGAAGCGATCGGAAAGGGACTTCCAAACCTCAAGCACGTTATTTGCTTCGATGAAGTAACATCTGAAGACAAGGCTAGATTTTCGGACGCCGGCGTTACGCTATTTTATCTAAAGGAACTGGTGGATATGGGTGCTAAGAATGTAGCTGAACATGATCCCCCTACTCCAGAGGATGTAGCGGTACTTATGTACACCTCCGGTACCACAGGGAACCCTAAAGGAGTGCAAATTACCCACAGGAACTTGATGTCGGATGTTGTATCATTGCAACATCGCCTCCATATTGGTAACCAGGATATACACTTCTCGTTCCTGCCGTTGGCTCATATTTTCGAACGAGTGGTCCAGGCTGTGTGTATTAGTCAGGGGTGCTGCATAGGATATTACCAAGGAAAACTACCAGAGCTGATGTTGGATATCCAGGCTCTGAGGCCAACATTCTTCATTGCTGTGCCGCGTATCCTGTCACGTATATACGATAAGATTAGACAGGGGGTAAAGGCTGGCGGTCCCGAGAAGGAGGCAGCTTTCGAGGGTGCGTACAACATGCGTCTCGCAGCTCTCGCGCGCGGTGAGGACACCCCGGTACTCAATGAAAAGGTCTTCGATCGAATGAGCATGGCTCTGGGTGGCCGTGTCAAGTGGATTCTGACTGGTTCAGCACCTCTTGGAGTAGCTGTTCACGAGTTCCTGCGTGTCTGTGTGTGCCCTGTCATCATGGTAGGTTATGGTTTGACTGAGACGACGGCTGGTGCCACACTCACTCACTACAACGACATGAAGCTCGGCCATGTAGGGTCCCCGATGGCTTCGAATGAGGTCAAGCTGGTCAGCATCCCTGAAATGAACTATCTCACCACTGATGAACTACCCCGCGGTGAGGTATGTGTACGAGGAACTAACGTATTTGGATCTTACTTGAAGAACCCTGAAAAGACGAAAGAAGATATCGATGAGGAAGGGTGGTTCCACACTGGCGATGTAGGCCGATGGAATGCCGACGGTACTTTATCGATCATTGATCGCCAGAAGTCCATCTTCAAGCTTTCTCAGGGTGAGTACCTTGCTGCTGAGAATCTGGAGGCCATGTACGGAAAGTGCGATCACGTTGCGCAGGTGTTTGTAACCGGCGACTCATTTCACGCGTACCCTGTGGCCGTTGTGGTGCCTGACCATGAACTGATTCTTGCTTGGGCTAAGGCGAACAATGTCCCTGGTGATGTTGCAAGCATTGCCAAATCCGCCGAGTTGAAAGCTTTGCTGACCTCGGAACTCGAGGCGATGCACAAGGAAAGCAAGCTAAAGGGATTCGAGAAGCTCAAAGACTTCATTGTTGAGCCAGAGTTGTTCAGTATCGACAATGAGTTGCTCACACCCACTTTCAAACTGAAGCGTGTGAATGCCACCAAGAAGTACCAAGGCCAGATCGAACAGTTGTACGATGAGATCGAAAACGTCTCCAACCTAAGCAAGACAACTATTTAGTCCGAAGGTAATACTTTCCGGTATCTTCTCAGGGTGGGTTGAAGAATTGAGCCCAGCTACTCTGAGTGTTGCACATACCTATGGTATTGGGAAGTCCAATGCGTGAAACATGTATAAAATCAAGTTTATAAAATCAAGTTTTCGGTGTTGGAGCAATCTGAGCACATACATGTACATAAAACTAAAAAATACACACATAAGATATATATAAACAAGATTGCAAATGTAAAACATATATGTATATATATATATATATATATATATAATACACATTAACATATCCTTAGGTGTACGTGCGGTTGTGGCGGTAATTCATATTGGTCAACGTGTGCAGTGAATAAAACATTAGTATATAGTGTCAGACAGCGGCAGCAGCAACAAGGCCAGTGTTGTGAGAAAATAAAATCCCCTGATTCGTTATTGACATTATTAGCAAGATACAGACATACTCAGAACGTGAATAATAAATATTAGGGAACAGTGAATGAAAGCCAACCTTTTACAGCGCCGATGAATATAATAAGTTCGGACTTTCACTTATTCTCAAATATAGTTGTTGGTTTTATATACAAAGATGATCTGTTTTTACAACTGCTCTATAAGCGGTTTCGAAACGGTTAATTAAGTTCCTCCTTGGGTTTTACAGAACAATTATAACGATTACAACGATCACAACGAATATATATATATATATATAATATACGCATACACACACACACACATATATATATATATATACACACACACATATATATAATATACGCATATACACACACACACATATATATATATACACACACACATATATAATATACGCACACACACACACATATATATATATGCATACACACACACATATATATATTGGAATTCCTCAGAGAACACGCATAAAATGAATCGCAAAGAACTAGATCGCTCCTATATTTACTATTTCATCTTCGCTCTCTTACAAATGTTTTTGTACCATGCATTAATTCCCGACGTATCCGTCGCACACCCAACAAGACGTTGTCACACACGTCATCTGTATCATCGCATCATATATCTACATGCAATATGGTCAGCAATAAAGATGGACCTATCCTTCATATGGAAAGAGAGTCAGTGGTGATTCTCTCACTCCCCATTTATACTATGATCTGTTGATCGCATACTTTCAGCATGAAAGCTACAACATTCGCCATCCAGTATAGAACATCTTTATGTGCTCGTCCTCCTGCCTCCACCCGAGTTCCAGTACGGTACGGTGTCCGTAGTACAAGTCGGCATACCGTGATACTAGACTTTGTATGGGGTAGCTATTCGGTGAACGCCAGCGTGACTAACGTATGTATCTGTCTAGGAGCGGTCGTGCACAACTGCACATCCTCATGCCCTGCCCGAAGAACCCGGCACAGTCCACTCGGCTAAGGATGGGGTGCGAACTTGAACACAGTCCGCGACGCATCCTAGTCAGCCTTCATTAATATTACTATACACGTGCACGAGAGACGCTGCAGCATACACCACTCCATAGACCATCCACAGATCCTCCACAGCCAGTGGCATATATATGAGTCATGCAACCGTTAGATATACACACACATATGTAATGTGTCAACGTGAATCTCTGAGTAGACGTGACAATAGATCAACACGTACTTGTGTACGTGCATATATGCGCTTGTGTGCAAGTGCAATACACGGCATTAGACCCGTCCGTGGTTGCTATATGGTTTGCTTTTAAGCAGAACAACCTACTCCAGGAGACCATAAGCTACTCCAGCCAAAGCACACGCGGGAGTTACCGCGACGTACAGTCCGATCGTCCTTGGGCCCACTATCTTAGCGAAATCACGCAAGCTCTGTTGAGGTGTAAGTACATACAGCAATAGATCAGACATGCGAACAAACGCACAGGTCAACGAGTGGATGATGAGGCCTCTGTGTCAACGGGTGGAGTGTAAACATGGATGTACAGAATGAAGTGAGTGGGGAATACTGTTGCGGTCCGAAGTAACGGATTAGTGGGTGTGATGTCTACAACAACACAGAAAAATACTCCGCGAGCAGGTAATGCGGTTTAGAATAAAACAACTTAAGGGGTTGAAACTGCAGAAGATGTATATATATATATATATATATATCACCTTGCATCTTACACAAAACGTCGTCTACTAAACTATGCGTAGACAGGATTAGAATTACAAGCATGCACTGTGCAATACGAACGCATCCTTGCAATAAAAAACACATTTGTTCTATTTGTATACACACAAAACCACATACTGTAACAGGCGGTGCTTTGTCAGTTGGTGCTGGTAAGAGCTTCGTGAGGGCTACCCTCTGTGCCTGGTATGTGGCACCGAAAGTCGCAACAGAGCCTACCGCTGCCAGTATACTGAAACCTGCCACACAGTTAAAGAAAAACGACATGTTCTTAAATTTAGGTATGGTGTGCCTAGCGTAAAGTGGAATCTTACAAGAAGTTGACCCTTGCAAACAAGTAAGCGAATACTGAGCAAGTTTTAGAATTTCTAAAAAGCCATGTATGTACAGTACATATATGTACATATATATATATATATATATATATACATATATTTACATATATTTATATATATATATGCATATATAAATGTTTACGCACACACACGCACGTGTACACACACATGTTTACATATATATATATATATATAAATGTACACACGTAAACGCGCACACACACGCACAAACAAACATATACATACATACATTACATAAATAGTATATATATATATATATATATATATACATATATATATATTTACATATATTATATACATACATAAATGTCTACATATAAATGTTTACGCACACACACGCACGTGTAAAAACACATAGATATTATATATATACATACATGAATAGATAGATAGAAACATAAATACATAAAAACCTACCTACATAGATAGATAGATAGATACATAAACACATACATACATTGATACATACATACATACATAAATACATCCACACATTGATACATAGATACATACATACTTAAGTACGTACGTACGTATATATATAGATACATAGATACACACATGCATGCATGCATACATACATGTATATATACACATAAACATACATGAATACATACATAAATACATATGTACATAGATACATATACACACACATTGATGCATACATACATACATACATACATACATACATAAAACACACACACATATAT